GAACCGCCTGCGCTCTGCCGGCCGGGGGGGTGGGGTGCGGGCCCCGCCTGACAGTACGGGAAGGTGGGAACCTCACCGCTCCAGGCCGCTGGAGCCCCGCGAGCCGACTGTCCCGGCTTCCTCGGGCGACATTCCGCTGCGGCTCCGTGACTCGTCCTGACCCCAGCCTCACTGCCAGGGCTTGTCCCACGCGGCAGTGAGCTGGTCAGGCGCCGTGGAGGGGCTGCTGTGGGCCGGGCTCACCTGCACCTCACAACCACGGGGCTGGAGCAGGCGCACACCGGTGCTCCGTGTCTCACCGGGCGCGTGTAGACTACCGAGCTCAGGCAGGTGCACTTCTGGGCTCCAGCCGTGGCTGGTGCTTTCCTTTCCACACAAGTGGGGACTGAGCCTGGGCCCTGCCACCAAATGCCATCCCCAGTGCTGTTTTTATTTTGAGACAAGAGACAGGGCCTCGGCAATGTCAGGCAGCCCAAGCTGGGTTGAAACCTGTAAGCCTCCTGCCTCAGCCTCCCAGAGCCCACAACAGCTGTACGGTCCCATGCCCGGGCAGCTGGCTGTGCAAGGGTCATTTATTTCTTCTTTTGTGCAGTCTCTGACACTTTCCTGCTGGACTCTCGTGACATCCAGGCATCGTCAGCCAGCCTGGCCGTGGCTGTTACTCACGGTTTAATGGCTCTTTCCGGCCAACACTGTAACAAGCCCGTCTTCAGCTTAAGTTTGAGGTGGAACTTAGGGGTTCCCTCCAGCACTTCCCATGGACAGGGCAGGTCCTGGTCTGTCCCGAGCGTTCTCCCACAGCGACTTTAGGGTTAGCGTTCTTGGGGTGACATGAACAACACCGTGGGGCTTTTGCGCTGAGAAAAGAAATCAACCAGTAACAAATGCTGGCGGGGTTGTGGGGAGATAGGAACCCTTCTCCATTGTTAGTGGGGGTGCAGACTGGTGCAACCACTGTGGAAATCAGTACGGAGACACCTCAAACAAGTAGGACTGGAGGTCCCATTTGACCCAGCCATCCCTCTGCTGGGTATCTTTCCAAAAGAATTAAAACAATCACATCACAGCGATACACACACCATCATAGCTAAGTCTTGGGAACAGCCCCAGTGCCCGTCACCTGGCGAGCAGATACAGAAGATGTGGTTTACACAGCGGAGCACTACTCTGCCATGAAGGAGGGTGCGCTTCGGACACTGACAGCTAAACGGATGGACCTCGGACCACACTCGTAAGTGACATACAGCAGACACACACGCTGAAATACCACACTGTTCCTCTGGTGTGAGAAGCTGGAAATAAGACTGAGATGGATAACGGATGCTGGGAAACGGGAAGAAAGTGTTCAAATGGGAAGGGGAACGGAGGAGGGGAAGGAAGGAAGGAAGGGACACAAAAAGTGAGACGAGGAAAAACGGAAACAAAGCTTCTGTACATAGCGAGGGGAGGGGTAACATTTATGGACAAAATACCTTCTCGTTAAAGTTCCAGTCTAAACTTGCAGTGTTAGGTGCTCTGTAGACAGAGGACGCGGTAGCAATGAGGCACTGAGCATTTTAATTTATGAAAGTGGATTACGTCAGACCACTGTACAGAAAGGACCGACCCCGCCACGCCCGCAGGACAGCAGCCTGGGCGCTACTCCACCACCGCCAGGTCCCGCAAGCCACGGCCTCTGTGCCTCTTGGCCTTGTAGCCCGGACGCAGGAACTCGATCTTTCTCTTCTTCGCTTCACTTTTATTTTTATGTTTCTTCATCTTTTTCTTGGCAGCAATGTCAGGGTTAGTTACAAACTTAAAAAAGAGAAGAGAAGTCTTAGAGTAAGTCCCTGATTCCCAAACTGTCACAGGCGTCCTGACTTACACACTGTTCTCCTGGAATGGAATTCATGTTAAATCGGGACTTGCTGAACAGTACTTTTTTTTTTTTTGCACAGTACTTTTGCTTTTTGAGACAAGGCCTCACTTTGTAGTTCAGGCCGGCCTCAGACTCACAGCAATCCTCCTGCCTCAGCCTCCCACATGCTGGCACGTACATTACTTTAAAAGTACGTGTTAAACCAATTTAGAGCGAATGCAGCAATGTGCCACTTCCATCCGCCTCAAATGCCTCGGTGCGATTTGCGCCCGCTTCTGAAAACACGGGCCCGCTCAGGCGGCCACGCCGAGGCCCTCGGCCCCCCCAGTCGGTGTGGCCCGTGCACGGCACGCTCACCTCCAGCGCCTTCTTCCTCTTCCGCTGCGCCCTCTTCTCACTCGCCTGCCTCTGGACGGAGGCGAAGGCGGCGGAGAAGCTCTCCAGCCCGACCAGCTTCTTGAGCAGCTCGATGATCTCCTGGGACAGGTTCTTCAGTGCGGGGTCTGCTCAGAGACGCGACCATGGTGAGACCGCAGCCTCCCGCTCTGGGGATCCCGGCAGGCTCCAGACACGGGCCCCTTGGCAAATGCCATGAGCCCCCCGGGGGGCCAGCGCCAAGGGCTGCCCTGCTCACCTCGCGGGTCTAAACCCCGACGCCCGCCCCACCCGCAGGCCCCTCCTGCTGCCCACAGTGGGGACAGCGCAGGCTCTGCCCGGGAGCCCTGCTGTGTGTCACTGGTATAGCACCGCTCAGAACCATCCCTAGCCACACTCTTCCTTCAGCCTTTAACCTGTGCTTGGAATAGAGCCTCGGCTCGTAGGGGAGAGATAGGAGTGGAGACAGCGGCCGGCAGCCAGCCATCGATCGAACTCGCGAGTCTGTGTGCTGCTGCCGTCTGCTTGCTCTCTCTAGTTCAGGCTGGCCTCAAACTTGTGATTCTCCCGCCTCAGCCTCCCGAGCGCCGGGCGACAGGCAGGGGAGGAGGCCTGAGAGGAAGGAGGCCACCGGGTGTGGGGTCGGGAGGCAGAGGCGGCAGGGCTACCTTGTTCAGAGTACGTGCTGTTCAGCTCCCGGAAGAGAGGAGCCACGATCACCGGCAGGTACGGCTCGACCCGGTGCGCCCCGAGGTCCAGCGCCA